CGGTTGGGACGTCACGCGCCTCTCCGTCGAACCTATTTTCGCATCCTACGGCGAGATCGAGGACCTCAACGTCGTCTCCGATCGAGTCACCGGCAAGTGTAAGGGCTACGCTTTTCTCACTTTCAAAACCCGAAAATCCGCTAAGAAGCTTCTCAAAAACCCTAGGCTGCAGATTGGTACCCGTCTAGCCTCGTGCCAGCTGGCTTCCGAGGGTTCCGTGCCTCCACCCACCGCCTCCACCGCCACCGCCGCCGCCACCACCCCGGCCGCCGGAAGAATAGTTTCCCAGCAGCACTTCTCCTCGTCGGACTACCCGGACCGAAAGATTTACGTCAGAAAAGTGCCGTTGGACGCAAGCCCCGATAGACTGAAGGCTCTTTTCGAGCAGTTTGGGGAGATTGAAAACGGGCCGAAGGGACTGGACCCCGCCACCGGGAGATTCAAAGGATACGCAATCTTCGTGTACAAAACAATCGAAGGGGCGAAGAAGGCCTTGGAGCAGCCCTTCAAGTACTTCGAAGGGAGCCAGCTCCACTGCCAGAAGGCGATCGAGGGGAAGGGACACGTGTCATCCGGTGCCGCTTCCATAACCACTGCTCTACAGCCGGTGCAGCCACAGATGATGGCGGCAGTCGCGGCGGCTCAGCAAGTGCAGAACATGGCTATGCTGGGTCAGCAGGCGGGGCTCGTGAATCCTCTGTATGCGAATTTGAGTGCGTTAATGGGTAGTTATTATGGGATGATGGGGGCACCGGTGCAGGGGTTGGATTTGGGTATGTACGGTGTTCCCGATGGTGGTGCCGCCGCCGCCGCCGGTGGTGGTGGTATAGGTGGATTGGGTAGTGAGGCGATGTATCAGGGTTTGCAATATACGTACCCGAATATGCAGAGTGTGAAAGCTTCTCCGTCATTGGCTAAGGGTTCCGGGACTAGTGGCAGTGGTTACTCACCTAGTTTATGGTATGGTTATCGCTTTCTTGATATATAATCTATAAATCTGTAACTCCGAATTGTTATACCTAGAATCTTTAGAAGTTAGTACGTAATTAATTCCAATTTTTGCTTAATACAAATTAAAGAGCTATAGAGTGTAGATTTGGAAGACTCTGAATTCGATTAATGTGAAGAGATGGAAATTTCTAGACATTATCACTACACTAATTGGTGGATTTGCATCGAATAATAGTTAGGAAAATGAATTGTGAAAAAGATAAACACTTCACATTTGGCCGGTTAAAACACGAAGCAATTGATTATTTAGATTATGAGTTCTACTTATTTGTTTTATAGAGAAATTAGTTGGGCTGTTATTCATTTTCGGAGGTTGGCTTGCTCAATGTTAAGTAGTGATCGTTAATTGTTAAAACGTATTTGGATTACATAATGGATACTGTTTGAAACGAACATAATTACCGAATATAACAGATGTACTCTTGTTTTTCTTTCTTTCTGAATTTTGCATTTTAAATCTTTTGCAGATTAGTAGAAGGATGTATGACAACACAAAGGGTGATCCGATTTCGAAACGCTGTATGATGGGTTAGTGATTTGTTTAGTTGTGGAATATGATATTACAAGTTTTGTTTTCAATATTTTTCCTAGAACCCTTCTTTTTTTTGTTTTAAGCCTTTGAAAAAATCTATTGGCTAAAAAAATTATTATCTCTATCTTCAGGTTTTCGTTAGTTTTTATATTTGAATTTATAGTTTGTTCTCTCGTTGTTTTGCAAGTTTCATTTTAATTTTGATCGTATTTGTGCAGTGTTGTTTCCTTGTGTTTTTGTTTTTTGGTCCATAGATCTCCACTTCGTTTGTCTCGTGATTTTCGACATCATCTTTTTTATTGGTTTTCGACATTTTATATTTGGAACGGAGAATTTATTTTTGTATTAGATTCATGAATTCAAAGGCCTTTTCTTTGACGTCAAGTTTAAGCTTCGTTTAATTTTTTTAATTTTTTTTTTTATTTTTTTTTAATTTTTTTTTTGGTTTTTTTAATACATTCATTACGAACTTGCTCGTTCGATGGCGAATGGGCATGAACACGTAAATACAGTTGATATCTACACGCAATTAATTATTCACTTTTTTTTTCCATTTCTTTATTCATGAGAAGTGATTTTTAGATTCTTTATTTCTTTTCTTTGTTATAGAGTGTACTTTCTTTCTGTTAGCCAATTATTTTTGGGCAGTGTCATGCCTGGGGTGGAAATCAGAATAGAATTTTCGAATTCTGCCATTTCCGATCCGAAAATATCCGAATTTGCAACAGTTTTTTCATTTTGATTTTTGAAGTTCCGATTTTCGATTTTACCGAATTTATTTGAAACTGAATCGGAAGTGTATATAAAATTACTGGAAATTGCGGTTTCCGATCCGATTTTAGTCCGAATATTTCGATTGTTTTTTGAAATATATAATATAATTTTATGATATATTTTGTAAGTCCATTATATAACCTAGGTTATATTTTATATGAAAAGTGTGAATACCGATGGGCCAAGTAAATCATAATTTTATAAAAGATTAATTGGTATTTTTCAAATTTATAAGTTTTTTGTTTTAATAAATATTGTTTACTAATATGAGAAATAAGTTACCAAATTTGGAAAAATTGGATCTTGATTTGAAGAATTTGAGTTTGAATTTGTATGAAATTGTTTGAGAATTTGAAGGGTATTTATAATTTTTTTACGAAACAATTCTACAAAAATGCCGAAAAAAAGTTGTTGGAGAGAGCAGAATTGCAAGTTCCTGGAAAAGAGCTGCTGGGCTTAGTGATGGGAAAAAAAAAACTCGATCAACTACGTGGGTATTCGGTCCTGTTTTAAAACCCGATACATAAACCATTAAGGTTTGGTTACCAACTTTTGGTAAGAGAATGTTAGATTTTTGGTAGGATTTTATCATCGGTTACTTTCAGAACTCCGACAACCCGTCGCTGGAAAAAAAAAAAAAAGAATAAGTCGGACTTTCAGATGTTGCCTGAAGTCGGAGTGTAGATGATATGTGAAGAACAAAGTCTTATTTTGCGGAAGTGAATTCAAATTACATCACGAAGGTAAATAATAGTAGTATTGTTGCATTATAATTATAATAATTGTCAATTAATTATTATTTTTCCAATTTTAGGCACTTGCAATCATATATGTGCACTCACAAGTTTTATTTATGTGCAATAATACATCAATAGTACTTAAATCATTCTGAGAGAAATACAAATTGCACTGAAAAAGCAATGTGCGACGAATTCAATCTAAAAAAATTGGGAAGAGCTTGATTTAACAAAATGAC